TAACAGGTCGCGAGTTCGAGCCTCGGTTGTTTCACCCTTCGTGGTTGTGTACGACTGGCTGATAACGCCTAATAAGCCGGTAGTGACCATTCCAGTTTCCTTTGCCTTTTTTAGTAATAGCATACGCGCTTTGCACTCCGCGGCCAACTCCGACCCCAGATGACCGCCACACGCCCCCCCCCCCTAACCTGCTGATGAAAGTGATGCTTTCTCCACGTGCCCGACTTACAAGCGTCACTCACCACCTATGTCACCCCGCCCGTCCCCCTTGACCCAATGACCACAACAATCCGACCTCTTCACGCGGGTGGCTTGGGAACGAGGAGTGTTAATAGTTCCCGAGTCACTTATGAATCGTGTGAAATTATCCTATTTTCAATTTCTATGTAGTTGTACTGTCCTGATGATACGTGGCCGAAAACGCGTTTTTGCCAAATTTACATTTCAAATGCTGATGCGTTGTGTGGGGCCGAATTCGCGTTTATGGCACGCACAGACAAACTGCTTTTGGCATAGTCAGTCTCCGTGCCCAATCTGAGCATTAGTCGTTTGGAAGGCACTGAAAGTGAAAGGATATTTCGGAGAGGGAAGACAGGCTAACATCGACTCTCCCAGCGCACATTACTTGCTACGAACAATCTGACGCTAAAAACCATGGAGAGAAAAGCTGCCATCCCACGGGATAAATTCACCCTTCCCTCAAGACGGAGGACCAATCTCCAATGCGGTCTTTAGGACAGTCCCAGCCATTTGGGACCGGTGCCTCATTCTGGTCATATCTGTTGTGGGAAATTCTGTCTTTGTGAACTGACAAGTAAGTTGGCTAAAATAGTAGCCGCGGGTTCCCGCCGGCCGAAGCACCTGCGTCCCATCTCACCCCGGTCTTTTTGACTTCGGGTGCAGAGTGGAGGCAAGGGAAGAGAGAGAGCGACGGATACTGCGCTAGTTCGCCATTCCGATAAATAAATGCACGTGCAAGTCATCGCACCGTGGCCACCCTTTCTTGGGATGCGCTGTTGACCTCCTTATCCGGACATGCAATTCACAATGAAGATCGGAGAGGACAATCAGTCAGGCCCCCTGATGTTCACGTCTGCCGTAAAGACTAAACTGTTTGGTAAAGCGACTACTCTGGCGCAAGTAATGGCTTGAACAACCACTACCCAGTCAGCCACAAAGGCATTTGCGTAAGGACCTTATATCGTTATGCGGAGACGCATTACAGTGAACGGCAACTTCGTCAGTCGGTGCACATGTAATCGCGAAAATAGCCAAAATTGAGCGAGCACTGCCATGCGTGGAGAACGTCTCGGAAACCATTAGCCGCCTCCTCAGTCTACGCCTATTTGGACCTAAGGCAGTCATCAAGCGTCAGGTCATGGGGCGGAAACACCCATTGCCACGACAGGAAACGTCCGCAGTTGTTTACCGGATCTGGTGCAGTTGTCGATGAAGCAACTCCGTGGATGAAACTGGGAGCTTTCTCGGATTGCGTATGGCCGAAACTGCAGCAACCGTGAGGAGGCAGGGGGCTAGCTCCCCGATCGCGTCCTGTATGAAAGGACCCGGCCACACCCACATGATTAACATAACTATAATGCTTACAAGTGGTAATGACTATGTGAGGCGTGATATGTTTGATTTACGGGTCTCCGCCTCTCATTCAGTTAGCAGACTCAATGACCTTCTGCCACTAGGTGAGGTTGTGGGCGACCGACAATTCCAGTTTCAGTGAGCAGAACTGCAGTGTAACTGCATACGTGAAGAAGAAGAAGAGTCGAGCACCGGAATAATTCGTTTATTATCCTGAGCTTTCAGACTCGTACAGGAGTCCATCGTCAGAGGTAGTGGCAGAAACAGGACAAGCGGCAGTTATAAGGCACGTAGACCCAATCATCGACCGACGTCGCACGACTGGAGGTGACTACGAAGGGCTCTGTACGCCGGCGCCAGATCGATAAATCGATTGACCGAGTTCTCATCCGAGGCCCAGGCTTCAATCAATTCCCGGCCTGTTTTGTTTCCGGCGTGGGCAACTATTTTGGTGGCTGCGAAGTCAAAATCGTGACCCATTTCGTAGGTGTGGGCGGCCACTTGTGATAATGCGTCTCCTCGCCTCACAGCCAGCTTATGTTCGTGTATGCGCGATCCGAACATGCGTCCAGTCTCTCCTGTTATTCACATCCATCCCACCAAACGTGACCCGCGAAGTCTTGGGCAAGAGACTTGAAAAAGCGTACGATGATACTCAGAATGCCCTCAAAATTGAACACCCCAATAAAGAGTTTAAATTCTGCCAACAAGCTTTCTTCGCTTTTGCCGGAGAGACCTATGAACAAATCATAAGAGCTCCAATGGGCTCACCGGTCTCCGGTTTGGTGGCAGAACTGCTCCTACAGGAGTTAGAAAAGACTGCCTTCCTCCAACATGAACCGGTGTTTTGGCGCCGTTACGCTGACGACACGTTCGTTATCGTAGAGAAGTACATGCTGCAACATTTCCACAGCCTGCTCAACGCAGACTCCCCTAATATAAAATTCACGAGGGAAGAAGAACAGGAACAGCAGTTGCCCCTCCCCCCCTGGATGTGCTCGTCAGACGAAACCTTAACAGTGAACTTAAACGACGGTTTATAGGAAGGCAACGAGCACCACACAGCTTCTCAGTTTCCACAGCAACCATCCGTTGGCCCACAAACGAAGCTGTGTAAAGACGCTCTTCAAACGGATCCAAACTAATTACAACAGACCGGAGGACAGAGCAAGTGAGGCCCGTTATCTCAGCGACCAGTTGATACAAAATGGCTATCCGAGGGCATTCAAAAGTCGCTGCCTACGCGTTCGCTACCAGAGAACTCGAACATCAACGCCACCGACCATATGGCATTCTCCGTCATACATCAAAAGTGTTTCAGAAGCGACCGAGCGCATTGCTGCGGAGCTAGGTGTTGGAATTGCACACCGCCCCAAAGCCACCATGCGCAGAAGGTTCATGAAAATCAAAGACCGGGTAAAACCTGAAGAGCAATCTGGAGTAGTGTATCGCATTCTGTGTCAACATTGTCCTTGTAACTACACAGGAGAGACTGGACGCATGTTCGGATCGCGCATACACGAACATAAGCTGGCTGTGCGGCGAGGCGACGCATTATCACAAGTGGCCGCCCACACCTACGAAATGGGTCACGAGTCTAACCTTGCAGCCATCAAAATAGTCGCCTACGCCGGAAACAAAGCAGGCCGAGAATTGATTGGAGCCTGGGCCTCGCATGAGAACTCGGTCAATCGATTTATCGATCTGGCGCCGGCGTTCAGAGCCCTGCGTAGTCAACTCCAGTCGTGCGACGTCGGTCGATGATTGGGCCTACGTTCCTTATAACTGCCGCTTGTCTTGTCTCTGTCACTACCTCTGACGATGGACTCCTGTACGAGACTGAAAGCTCAGGATAATAAACGAATTGTTCCGGTGCTCGACTCTTCTTCTTCACTTATGCATACATCTGGAACTCGAAATTTCGCCTTCGCTCGTGAAGAGTAACTGCCGCGCCAAAAATCAACAATGGCAATTGCACTTCAGTCATTAACGACGGGAGTACGGACCAACAATCGGTAATCCCACCAAAAACAACTCTCAGCGATAAACGTAAGTTCTGCTACGTATTGCAAATATTTGTTTGCTAGGCCACTTCGCCCTACAATCAGTGCGCAACTTGGGCCTCTACTACCATTTTCTGTTACTGCCTTAGATGATGAATCCTCAACCAATACTCCGTGCAGAGGCATAGGCTGGCCAAAGCCATTGACGGCTGGGGGAATGCGCAAGCCGGTGAGCCAGATGATTGCACAATCATCACGCCAGCATCCAACACGGGTGATGAGATTTCAGCAATTAACCACTTTCACGTCGGCCATCAAGCAATTAGTGCACCAGCGGGCAATAATCCTTGGTGAAGGGGAGCGCGGTTAATTGCTATTGGTATGCGGTAGCATAGTGACTGCATCCTATAAATACTGCAACTTCCTGTGCACGAGTCACCCTTATCTACCACTGTCTCTGATGATGGATTCAAGAGAGAATCCGAAACGTCAGGCGAACAAAGCCCTTGTTCCAACGATCGCTTCTTCTTCTTCTTCTTCTGATCATCCAGTTCCTGGAACTCGTATCTTCGCTTTTATCTGCAGATATGACATTCTTTAAACATACAAGAATGTTTTAGGATATCAGGGTAAAGGGAAAGGAAGAACGAGTGGGACATCAAAGCGGCTGCTTAGCGGCCGGCCAACAGAGTGCAAAAGTGAACGTTGAATCAAACGACCTCTTTATCTGTTCCTATTTGGGGGCAAAGCTACTTGGAAGCTGCAGGTGCCAGATGCTACCGGGAACGCAGTACTCAATTTTAAGTAATACAAACGTGAGCAGATGCTGTCGCCTAAAACCACACGTGGATTAAAGATTAGTTCGGCATGGTGGGTAGTTATATACCGGTCTGTGCTGGGGTCCATTAATGGCATATCCGATAGGATTGCAACTGGTGTTTGGTGAGAGACTGGAAAGCAGCGAAACAGCGTTATATCATGAATGTCACTCAAATAAAGCGAAACATGTAAATCTTTGAGATTTCGCGCAAAACCCAACTCCCGCCCAAGGATTAGGAGCGTTAGAACTTCTGCCCAAATATCCACATAAAAATGCACCCAGACCCTTAAAGACTTAATTGACTGATTTACTGCAGGCAAGCAGCTGATTCCTGAGAAAATCAGAAAGCTGCAAGTTAGGACTGCGGTATAACTGAAATAACTGGGAGATACGGCTTAGGACCGCCTCGCAGTTTCATAAGCCGCTGGCCGGTAAGTATCTACAGACGTGTTTCTGCCACACATCGACCTTTGTACCTGGAACATATACTTACTTATTTTATTTGAGTATGACTCGTTACGGTCTGGTCGGAAACAGACTGCAAAAGACGCAATGTTGTAAGGGAAATACAGGAAGGGCATAGTTTATGGTGGGCACACTTGCTCCGGGGAAAAATTTCGCTAAAGGAAAATAGCTGGCGATATTCAGTTTTACGTGACAGGGAAGGAACGAAAAAGTCATCAGGGTGGCTCTTGTGTAAGGATGGTCAAGACGCTTTAAGGTCGTCATCGGAGTAAAAATGCGTCAATGCTATACCTTTTTGATGATTCCTGCGAAGGGACATTCCAGTCAATTAACTTTATGATTAAATGCTGGCGACAGTACGGAGGATCACAATTTGTAATAACACGAAGTTCTTAGACATTGGGCTCCTTTGCTCAACACACATGCGCCTTGGAGTAATAATCCCGAGCATAACCCACACCCTCGCCGGGGACGCAGCTCTAATATTAATGTTAACGCTAAACCCAACCCATTCTTCCGCTCCCACACTTAGTCTACTTATAAAGCCAGCGTTTACGCGACTCCAACCCCATGAGTAAAGGCAGGGACAGGGCTTAGGTTGAGGTTGGAGTTGGAGTAAGTGTTAGGGATAACATTTGGGGTTAGGTTTGAGTGCTAAGGTTGGGATTGGGTTAATGCCAGGGTTTTGACTAGGCCGTCAATACTCTCCATCTTATTAGTGCGGCCGTATACGGCAATCTTGCCAGCAAATCTCTTATGACAGCTGGGGCACAAATTTTCACAGAAAAAGCTACACAGGTGGTAGCATGACCCAAAAGAGTGACGTAGACCTTTCGGTCTTTTTGAGAGTAATTTGCATGTTGGCGACGCCGTTGTATCTCACCGGAAACCGGGCAGAGATATCAACATCCTGGGGGCCTTTGGGCGTGGTCTGTTTGGTTTTGTAGAGACAGATGGAAGATATTGGACCAGGACAAGCGCTCACTGCGTCCATATTCATTCCTGGCCCCACCTGAAGATAGCATTGCGGGTGAAGTATGACGGGTGCAGAAAGGAGCAGTGGACTCTAGGTTTCCTCAGATCATTAGACGGGGTTATGTGCCATCGATAGGTCGAAGGGGCTATAGTTGCACTACTTTGCGTGTGGATTACTTCACGCGAGACCGACTTGTGCGGCGTCTACTTCACGCGTTCCTTCTGCACCTATCAAACTTCAATGACAAGGCAACGCCTAGATGACGGCAGGCGATGTAATGTCCAGTTGCTGACACAGCTAAACAGTCCGTCTGCGCAATTGACACCCTTTCTGGTTTCCACAAGTACACCAGGGGCGTCTTGGAACGCACTATTAAGAGGAGGCCACCGCTAACTCACTCCTGATCCACCTGTCAGCAACTGCACACAAACAGGACCGACCTCGATCACCATCCAAGCCATTCCTCTAGCGCATGGCACTATTTCCAGAATTAGTCAGATTGATTATAGTGAAGAATAAGCTACTGTGCCGCGGTGGTGAATTCCCTCTCTTTCCTCCTCCGCCATGTCATTTTGGGGTTGTACACACTTGTTGAGAGGACTCAACAGTCCAAGTACGCATTTCACACACAAAACGGTCTCGTTCGGATCTCACATGCGCAAAAGTGCCATAGAGGTCACAGTAAGAAGCAATCCGGGGGAAGGCAACCACTTCCGCCAGCCAAAGGGCCACAACTTCCGAAATCTCAGTCACGCAGTCATTGAGGTATGACTGTCAGCATTCGTCACACCGCAACTTGAGGCGACACCTACCGACAATTCTAGCGTCGCGACCGACGATGTCCACCGTGTGTCCCATAGCAGAGGGGGAGCAGGCACGGCGACCTACGCCTGTTTTCTTTTATAGTTATAGTAGACTTGCGAAGCATCTGCCGCTCTCTCTCCCGCAATCCCACCTAGGGACGGTGTCAAGACATAGTCAAGAAGAACGAGGATGGGAGAGGACGCAGGTGGCTGTCACGATCGTACTCACACTTAAGGCGTACCATCACACCCTCTGGGCCACACCAAACACTTAACCAGAATTTTAACCAACAGCAACAACAACAATGCTGAGGGATGGCAGGGATCCTAATTGACGCGAAGTGAGCCAACATCTGGGTCCTGCTTTTTACCCTGAATGTTTGCATTTGTTAGGGGTGTGCATTTCTGAGGACAGATTTGAGGATCCAATGTGGCCCTCGGGGTTAGTCCAGCGCTTTGGGGGCGAGAGGCGGCACTTGCAGCAGGCATAGTGTGCCTAATCACTTCTTCAATCAGGAATGGGCGTACACCGATCTGTTGGCTTCCAGAAGTAAACAAGCTCCGTATGGGTGACAGAGGTCACAAACAGACAACCAAGTACGAGGCGGAAGTCGGTCACGTAATAATAGCAGAGAGGAGCTGGTGTGCTGGAGGGAAGCTAAGACGTCGATTTGCGTCTATTCCTGGCTGAATAAATACCCTATCTGCAGAGACAGAGAATGACAGGTGGCGAGTCACTGATGAAGTACGTTTCGATGAAGTGCTTATGATCCATCTGGTAGACCAACTGCGGCAGCTGTGTCAGTGCGAATCCGGTCCCATCTGATGGTTAGGGTTATGATTGGCTACAGGAAGGCAAAATAAGCCCGAGATTTATCCGCATTCTTTATCGTCCCTACTAGCTGCGAATACACTTCTGGTAAGATATGAGTAGCCCGGCACTTTACGTTGAAACTGTAGACGAACTTACTTGTTATCAGTGGATGTGTTTAGTCTGCCTAGGAAACTGGCAGCAGGTGTGCTTTTACTGCGTGAGGTAGGTCGGCCGTTTCGGTCAGGCTGTTGGGTTTCGTGAGGGTAACGTTTTGGGATTAGGATTTGCGTTGTAGCGTCCGGCTTCAGTGTTAGGGTTAGGGTGTAGATTTACGATTATGGTTTGGATTTAGGGTTGGGGGTCGGCTTCAGGGTTAGTGTTTCCGGTTAAAGATTTATGGATAACGGTTAAGGTTAGAGTTAAGGTTAAGGTTAGGGGTAAGGATAAGGTTAGGGTTATGTGTTGGGTTAAGGTTCAGGTTAGGGTTAGGGTTAAGTTTAAGGCTGGGTTTTCCTATCACTATTTACCTCTTTCATTATCCACAGGCGGTTTTTTTCGCGGGATTTTTTTACAATTTCTGCCATTATTCTACCTTACCAAAACTTCTCAACACTTTTTTGTTTAATTTATTTTTTAACCGAAACTCCAGCATTCGTCCAGCAGCATTTTCACTTATACCACCCACATACCCCCCTTTCCCACCATTCCCGTATGACAGAGACCCCGCCGTCTGCCTCCCCCATTCCTGGCTACCAACTGCGATCCAACCACTCTTCTATTTATATATGCATATGGAATCCGGCAGATTTTGCAAAGTATTTGCAGGATCTAATGCCAGATTGGTCCTCTATCAAAATTAAGTCTACACAAATGTTTATGTGAA